TCTTTAATACGTTTTTGATTCGTGTCGTTGAATAACTTACGGGTTAAATGTTTCCACAGCGGGCCTAAAATACCAATAAAGCGCCGCGCATAAACTTTTGTCACTAATACATGTACATCCCCTGGGTAAAGTACACTCTTGTCTTCATTTTTAGCTCAGCAATCAGCGCATGCGCGATTGATGAGCTTTCGGGGTTGTGGGGAAAATCTGTTCGTTAGTTAGTAAACTTTTCTTTTTTTTCTTTTTTTGTTCGCTTCTCTTTTTGCAGTCAAAGAAGGCATAGCTAAGGATGATCATGAATTGCATCAGCTAGAATCCGATGTAAGTGCATCGTGGAGGGCACTTGGCCGCGAGTTAAAGGTTGAAAGGCAAAGCTTGGTCTAATTGGAAGAGATCATCAGCAGGATACATACGAAAAGGCATACCAAATGCTCATGCACTGGAGGAATAATAGTAAGGCAGATGCTGCTACTTATCTGATTTTATTCAATGCCTTAACAGTGTTGGGTCGCAGTGATTTGGCCCAAAAGTATTGTACAGTATGAAGAAGTAAAACTTGTTGGTTGTGAAATCTCAAATGCAATAATCACAGGCCTATATACATGTATTTCTAAGTATTCGACCTAAATTGTTTAAGTGTTCAGATTGTAAATAATAATGTTTAACTTGATGTTACTATATGTCCACTTGGTGATGTACGTACAGTAATACATTTTAATATCCAAGCTCAACAATCAGACTGGCTGAAGTGTTTCGCTAACTCATGATTAATGTTTTCATTTTGAATTCAAGTTTCGAAAGTTTAACTGAGTAATGCAAAGTCAACCAGGAGTCTGTCAATACAAAGTGGTAGCTTAATTCGTTTGCCAATGTTGCCAGGCACCTTTAGAATAATCTACCATCTACTGCCCGTAATTCTGCAAATTTGTACAGAAACTAGAACTCAAACCTTTTATATCAATATATATCATCCCCATGAGAGAGGTGATGTATAATTATATTAAAAATCTGGAAACCAAAGTGGAGATAAAAAAGACGAGTTTGCTTCCATGACTGCAGTGTAGTGGCTTTTCAATTGCTGGCATTGACTGAAATTTGCATTTTATTTACCGGTACATTAGAAAATCGGAAATTCCTTTTTTTAATAAGCTAAACAGTTTGTATAACTCAGTTTCAATGGATTAATCTTTTAATATTAATTAGTTTTAATAATTAAATATTTGTATTTTAAACTTGGATTTTTTTTTACTGATAGGTATGTCCTACTAGGGCCCGTAACACTGAGTCCAGCATATCATTATTGGGTGTCAGTGTGGGCAGCCGAGTGTTTCCAGTATGTACTAGTCGATCTACACACTGTACGTCCTTTTCCATGCTAGTTTAATGTGCAAACTTACTTTTAATTTCAGTGTAATGATAATGAATTCTCAGTCAGAGACTGACATGGAAAAAGGATACTCAGGCGATGTAAGGCAAATTAATGCCTGGACGTTGGGCAACATTGATTGGGAAACAACTCTGAACGACCTTTATATTCTCTTTCTCTCAGCGTTTTGAAGGACAGCTTGAAGAGTCTGCATGAAGAGTGTCACTGGTTGGAAGCAGTATCCTGGGATCTCTGTGCTCGATGCAATTTATGTCCACCTGAATTAGCCAGTAAGACTACTGGAGAGTGCTTTTGGCATGGAGAAAAGGAATGTCGCCATGATGACTGTGCACACTACGTGTCTGTCACCGCAAAAAACTAGTCCGTTGCTCGCGTACAAAAGGCACCAATCGTTGTCCGCCCAAGACTTGGTGTCAGGTCAGTGAAATGAACGTAATAATTATTTTTAGTGCTAGAATCTAGATAGTTAAATATATTGGCTGATATTACTTGCATTATATTACAAATACAAATTTGTATATGAAGTACAATGTAATTCGTTTTGTATATATGTATATGACATCTGTTGATTTACCCATAAGCATTAGCATAAGCATAAGCAAATTTTCTCGGATTAAAGTTGTGCTTTCCACAAGACTTTATTTACTGAATATGTATTGTGACGCTGTGAGCTTTATGATCATGTAGCCTTTTTAAATTTTCAGTTATGAATTATTCTCCTTTATCTTCAATGAAACAGCACTCAGTAGTAATCTGTTTCATAAGCTTTCGTAATAATAACTTGAAGGCGAAATATTTACAGCAGCGAAAGACGAACAATTTTTGTACAATCTTCTTTCTTCTGCTCAAATTCGATTGCCGAGAAAGACAAGAAAGGAAACCTCTGGGCCTAGAGTAGGTGGCCTTTGGTTGTACGTTTAATTTCTCTTAACAAAAGCAATAGATGCACTTGGATTTTTGTTCACCAGTGTGCGAACCAAAAAAATATACTTCGTAGTTTTATAATCTAAAATCTAAATGAATGGTATATATTTTGAATAAAAATTATTTCATTGTGTCACTCTTGTTTGATTGTAATTCTATATATTTGTTTTCAGGCCTTGGAGGACGCCTCTCGTCACAATCAGGATGGTAAGCTGTGAATGCACCAGTGTGTAAAAAAATGCACTTGTCTCTTTGAAATCATCATCTAAGGGTAAAAAGCAAGTAAGAAAAGTTCACCAGTGTCTATAAGGCTGTGAGCTATTAGTTACGGTGAATTTTATAGCTTACTTGACTGGAACAGCATCTGTAGAGCAGTTGAAACGTTGTTTATTTAGCACCTATTTTATTGGTGCGTCAATTATTATTATTATTTTTTTATATACGAGAAACGTAATTGAAATTTCTCTTGCTGCGTGAAATACTTGACATATACTAGTATTAATGCAGTAAAACAAGTAGATCTGGCTGTTCATTTTGTTCTTCAGAGGTCCGTGACAAAGAGCAGACCTCTATTGTGGCTTCCAAGAGACAAGGGCCCAACCAGGATATGCAAGCAATTGCACTTGTTCCAGCGTATCCTGACAGCGCTTGAAACCCGGACCGCTTGATCCGGGGTCTAACGCGCTGACCATTAGGCCCACCGCTTCTCTCAAGTGAAATCTCTTAAACATGTTTTATTCCTTCCTTTGGAACAGTTATAATAATTAACCTATACTGGTATTACAAATGTTGTGTGCAAAGTTAATGTAGTAAAACAAGCTTAAGTAGGCCTGGTTGTTCAGTTTGTTCTTCAGAGGTCCCTGACAAAGAACAGCCCTCTAGTGTGGATTCCAAGAGACAAGGGTCCAACCAGGATATGGAATCAACTGCCGCGAAAGTGACAGGTAACTCATTTATTTCAGTCAAGATTATCGATTATCACATACAAGAGAGGAAGAGGACGATATAAGAGAAGGATTTCCCGTGCCCCATGATAATTTTTTGAAATTTATTAATAGTTTTGCGTAGCTGTGAAAGTTATTTTTATTTCCTTTTGATCGAGGCTCCGACATGACATCACTCGAACTGACCGATCAGGTAGCGCTCTTAAAAGAGCACAACGATGTAGACTAGAAGTTAAAAATAGATTTAAAACAAATATAATTGAGGGGTTCCTTCTCTTAGTTCATCCTCTCCTGTCACATATCATTTACAACCACAACCAGGCTATATCGGTTAAAAACATAGGCTCGTGAGTATCCAGAAGAGATGATGCCATATATAGGGCACAACTGTATTCAGTTTCTCCGAAATCATCATTAGCAAATCTGAAAGTGAATGAATTACTTACTTCTTATTAACCGAGCACGAGGGCCGTACTGGGAGAATAACGCCCGAGGTTTTTCTGGTACGAAACGAAGGCGGACAGAAGGCGATATTCTCCCAGTACGGTCCCGATCTAGTGAGAGTTAATAAGAAGTTTATTACATATACATATCTTTCCCTAACAATTTTTTACTTTGCCGTTCTGTTTGCTCGTGCTTTGCCAGGCGGGCATTAACATCGCTCATAATGCCCGTGAGCATTACGGGAAAATCCGGCCCCGAGTATTAGCCAATCACAGCGTATATATACGTTATATCTTTACAAGCTCTAGCCATATAATAACACACATTATTATACGACGTGACGTTTTAGAGTGCGAATACGCACAAAGAGGAGAGCAGATATGAGACCGTATTACACGGGTCTCAGTCCCCCTGACCGCGCGCTACGGAAAACACTGTTGAAAGCCTATATTTTAGGAAAGATATTATGTCGTATAATAAACAATTTATTCAGCGGAAAGTTGTGTAATACGGCTGGGCATTTTTACTCGTCAGTTTTTATTTTTTCTCGCCTAAAGGCTCGGGAAAAAAAAACTGACTCGAACCTTTTCCTCTATTTATCAATCTCTTAAAGTCTGCCTACAAAGCTGGTGTTTCAGACCGGCGCTTAACTGCGGTTTCCAGTAGCATGAAGCGACTAGGAGTACGTAAAATCCCACGTATAAGAACATATAATTTCCAGGTCAGGCTGAATAGGTTCTTATGTATTTGATGCATAAGACGAAATAAGCCTGTTTAGGTTCTTAAATAGGTTCTTATTTTTTCAGAGAGTGGTGCAGGTGATGAAATTGTAAATACAGATGTATAACATAGGTGTGGTGTAAAAGTTACTAGAAGTTGAAAGGATAAGTGCTGTTTCATAAAAAGTCAGAAAACAGTTTTCTTCAAGCAATAAAACTGATTTTAATGTTGGAGTTAAATACAGTACAGTGTACCCTGAAGCACATTTATTTGAAACTGTATCACTGCTAAGCCTTCAGTTTTATTTTCAGTACTACTATAACTGCCTATAACTGACCTCACAAATAAGAACCTATTTTAATTTCAGGCTGAATAGGTTCTTATAAAATGGCTTCAGGCTGTAGGTTCTTAATCCACTAGGTTCTTATACGTGGGCTGTATCGCAAGGTTTTCCCCAGCATTTTTGTCAGGTTATCCTGACAATTCGCTGGTACCTATTTATACTCCTGGGGGGGGGGGGGGGGGGGGGGGGGGGGGAGAGAGAGAGAGAGAGAGTTAAGTGTCTTATGAACACAAAACAATGTCCCCGGCCAGCGCTCGAACCCAGACCGCTTGATCTGGAGTCCAACGCGTTGACCATTAGGCCACCGCGCCTCCCACGTGATATCTAGATCTCATATTAAAACATGTTTTATTCCTTTCTTAGGAAAGGTTATGAAAGAAGGCACTCCGTCTGATGATGACCTGGAGAAGTTGTCCAACTTAATTGCTACATCTTGGATAAAACTTGGGCGTCGCCTGAAAATTAGTCAGCCAAAACTTGATGACTTTCATGCACAAGATGGCAGGGATTAGATGAAAAGGCATATCGAATGTTATTGTGCTGGAAAGAGAAAAACGGTTCAAAGGCCACTTACCGGGTGTTAAGCGAGGCCTTGTGCAGTGAATATGTAAGTTGTAGAAAGTTAGCAGAAGACATTTGCTTTCACTGAGAAGAGGTATAGTATCGATATCGTTCTACTTGGTTTTCGTCAAAGCAAACTAGATGAGTGAAATTGTTGAAAGGAAAAAAAATGAAGTCGCGAACCTCTTTATACATGCAAGTGTTTTTAACTTTCAGAACATGGAAGTACATGTACATATCTCAATTCTATTGTCCGATAAAAATATTTTTTTCCCCCTCAGTTAGTTTATATGAGTATAGAACAGTAGAAGTGACGGTTCACTTGCAGATATGCAGCAAGTTTTTGTTATAGAATCAGAACCGTAAATGTATATTACAAATGAACATAATTAGGCTTAGATCTGACAGTAGTCTACTGCACAAAATAAATAAATAAATCGACGTTGTTTAACGAGGGTAACACTTAACAGTCTTTCGACTGACAAACCTGTGGCCCTCGGATCCCAGATCCAATTGGAATTTAGTAGTGTTGGTTTTTGAAACGCTGAGCGTGTTAAAAATAGTCTTACTAATAGGCTATGTTTAAAATATAAATCAGTCAGCAATAGATAAGCCCTTTTTTGCCATGTTTTACTTTTTATTTTACTTGTAAAGCATATTTAGATAGATTTTTTATATGATATATATGATTTAATATGTATTTTTTATTAAATTATTATTAACATGTATTATTGGAAACTGATAGAAACAGATAACTGATTTGTACATACAAAGGAATGAAGTTTATTTTTGTCCATAAATTTGGCAATAAAATAGCACAAATATTCATCCACTGGTACCCTTTCTTTGAAAAGGCAATAACGTAATTAAAATAGCCGTTTTCATAGCTAAGGCCCAATTTAAACATCGCATTTCAGTCACATCTAAGTCGCTTCGAATGTGATTCAAATCCCAGAAAACTCGCTAAAATCGCTTTAAATCAGCGCAATGCCCACACAAATAGATGAATGCAGAACAGGTTTGTTTTCATGGTGTATTGTAACGTAGTCGAATCAAGTAATACCAGCGATATTTCTGCGGCTTGAATTACATTAATTAATTCGACGCGACTGAATGCGACTTATAATTTTAAATGCGATGTATAAATTGGGCCCAGGCGCATGTGTGAAGTTACTATGTAAAGTCCCCTTTAATTTTGATACGGTTTTGTTTATTACTACTTATTTAGACTGCAAAACAGTCCACAGCTTGATCCGTACACGGAGAAAGCCTCTGGAGTATGTTGAGTTAGGGAGAATGCATTCTCGACCCAAGAGCCTTTGGTTTCTTGACTATTCGCAAAAGAGTCGAGAATGGGAGAAAGGTAATCTCGTACCCAGATCTTCTCAACCCTCGGGAGAGAACATCTGGGTACGAGATTAGGTTGAAAGATTGCATTTTGAGAGACAAAATTGTTTACCAGTGTGAGTCTGCTCTGTTCCTCCCACTGGAGCATAAGGCATCAACAAAACGTCGCCAGTCAGCCCGGCCTTGGGCAAGCCAGTTGATTTCGTACCAGGTCTTCCCTATCTCCTTTAATTCGTCTTCCTTTGTCCTTCTCCATGTACCTTAAGGTCTGCCCCGATCCCTTTTGCCTGATGGTGTCCCATTAAGTGAAGCTGTGAATAAATATTTGACTTTAGCTGAAGTGTCAAGGACCCCTGGTCAGAAGGTCAGAACGAATTCTTTGTATCAGCTAGCCTGCGTGGACTCCCGGGGGGGGGGGGGGTGAGACTTTCATGTGAAAGGGCGGGATGCTCGTTAGTCCTCCTTCGCAGCCGTTATTTTGGGTCACCAGGCCACGCTTCTCTCTCCTCTAAAAGATACCATTCTAAAACAGACAGACAAATAAGAGCAGAGGTACCTCTGATAAGAGCTATAGTGTTGAGATGGATGTTGTGAAGAAAATTTTAATGATTTCATGTTGATCGGTGTAGACCACCAAATGACGGCGTCTTTTATTTCTTCGCGTGCAATCCTAATCGATACCTTGATGGCTAAAAAATATTGGTGTTCCGTCCTGAACACCCTAAGTGATACCAAATCCGTAATTAACACCCCTAAAACGGAGACGACGAGCCTCCCCGCCCTTTTGACATGGGAGTCCCCGGCCTGGGGGGGAGGGGGGGGGTGGGGGGGGGGGGCGTGGACAGGCTTTTTGATATATATTTTTGCTGTGACAAACAAGCTGAGAGGATCGCGAGTCAAACTTGAGCTATCGCGAGGCACTAAATTTTTGTGGATTCTAATTTTTGCGTTTTTTTACCAGAATCCACATACACCAAAAAAAATTCCCGCAAAAATTCTTCCGCAGAAGTTTACAGTCCACTTTTGAAATTATAACTATTATTTTAATTTTCTCTTGATGTTCGGACATCGTCCGCGTTGCTTCGACCATTATCAGAGCAATAAACCACAGCAGAATAAGATATTGATGTAATAGATTAATAATTAAACCCGTATTTCGATGACATGTATCAAAAAGTAAACAATATTACGTTGTATTACGAACATATTACAATTGCAATTTCAATGTGAAATTGGTGTTGGAAAAGAAACTATACGGTACAGCGCTGGAGCGAAAGCCTGTTGCATGGTTCGAGTTAGACTACGAGCAGTCCCTCATGCATTTTTCTCAGGGATCGAGTGGGCGAGCGCGCGCGAAGCGCGTGGAAATCACCTCCCGCGAGAAGACGCGTCGCGTCCCACTCGATCCCTGAGAAAAACGAGGGACTGCTCGTAGTCTAGGTTCGAGTTCACTCCGTCGTGATCCGGCAGATTGACTAACCCGTAATAAAATAATACAAGCCTGCTTCTCTGTTTAGCTCTCGAGCTCCTTACTATAATTATAAGGGGTAGCTTTTCAAGCTTCGCTATTCCTTAGAGTTTGATGATACCCATTACACTGTTCGTTTTTCCTTACTGTGAACCTCTTGGTAAAACAGTTGACACATAATTTTGTCTCACACAAAATAAACGCATTTACCAAGGCTAAGCACGCGCCGATATACATATTCCTGTTAAATTCAAGTTTTACTCTAACTCAAGATAAGTCTATAAGATAAGCGGAGGAATCAGTGCAATTTTGCACCATGCAATTCAGTTTTCATAACTGCTATATATGTATCAGTTTAATCCCTTAACAGAACACGCAACAATACACTTTTATATATGTTCATTGAAAGGCCGCTCAGTGCCTCAATAACTTATCGCTGAGAACTTGAAGGGGCAGTCTATATCAGTTCTAGCCTGAATGTTATTATATATTGCTCCTAATCTTTTGCCCAGTATGCAGTCAAATGATTTCAGTATAAGTTATATGTGACTTAGAGTGTTCTAAGTGACTTAGAGTTTCTCTTATAAACTGGATCATGAAGAAAGCTAAATTCGGCTAACCAGCTGACTAACAGTTTTTCAGCACCAGACTTCGAAGCTAGTCAGTACATATGATATCTTTAAAAAATTAAGTAGCTAGAACTGCATTCACTGCCGGAATTCTACGGTCACGGCAAAAGTATACATATCTATATTGCCATCCGTACAGGCATATCGTTTAAGGAATTATTTTGAAGTTTTTTGGAAACGAACAGGGATATATACTGAATTCAGCCTTGCTTTATTGATAACAATGAAGACAAAACTCGGGCAACTAATCCGAACGAATTGGGCTTCATACAGTAACGATAAGCAACGCCAGGCGTGCGACGAGAAGACCGGACACAGGAGACAGAGCGCCGGAAATGTAGGCTAGATCAGTTTAATTCCGTGCACAATAAAACACAAGTATTAAATATAAAGCTCACTAAACTAACATGGAAACTGAAATCGTTTTCTAATGTGGACAAGAACCCAGCTTGAAGTTCCCTCGCCCTAATCTAGAATATAGATGAAGTAACTGGCCGTAGCAGTTTGCGGGCCAAAACATTTCAGCATATTATAATTTTTTACGTTACCAATTATACCCTTTCAAAGTTCGTGAAAATGCGAGGTGATACATGCAATACAATTAATTCTACAGTGAACAACAAAGTCTCTATATCTGCTTACGTTTACTGTGTCAAGTCCAATAATTTTCCAGAGTAAGAGAACATAAACCGTGTAGTTCTTATTTCTTTTTCCCAACACGATTCCCAAAGGTTCTTTTCATGATTTAATTGATGATATTAAAAATATTTTTCCAGGGCTAGAAGCCAAGACAACTTCAGTTGTGCAAACTCGGGGAATGTTGATACAAAATTGCTTTCGGAAGCCGATGTCGGGGCGAGGTAAGCCCCGCGCCGACGAACATATGATCTAAGCAATGCCGACTATTGGCGCGAGGTAGACTAACATGCATGGGTTGATCATGTCATAATTAGGCTTGTACGAAACGAATATGCTCAGTGAGAGAGCGGACAAAATTAAAAATAAATTTGATACATGATTTTATAACTTGTTCAACTTCGCAGAGCTGGCAGATGAGAAAATATCGTTACCTGGTTAATCGATTTGTAATAGCAGCTTTTTATATTTAGCTACGCCATGAGAATCTCACTGATATCCGTGTAATATGTTTTTGTCATTAGCGAGTCATGTATAAAATGAATCAAGAGATTCTTCTGGGGAAGAATAAACCGGGGAGCAGGTGATGTCCGGGAAAGCTAAGTTAGTTTTCCCTTGGGGTGTGGTCGGACTGCAATCTCGTCACACCCGCCATCTTGAAAGCGGAGAT